CTCACACGGCGCCCCAAAGCTGAGCGGGACCCGTCCCCCACCCACCAGGAGGGATCCCTCCAGAGCGGGGGGATTTCCACGCCAGGGACCCCCACGGCAGGCGGAACCCCAGAACGGGGCAGGGACCCCATTTCCACCCCGCGGGTGCCCTGGGCAGGGCAGAGCCCCCCTCAATCCCGACACTCGGGACCCGCGGGGCGGCGGGAGCGCTCACCTCGCTTCACGACGTGCATGGCGGCGGCGGCGGGTGCCCCTCAGTGCGTCTCGGTGCCCCCAGTCCCCTCAATCCCCTCAGACCCTCAGACTCCTCAGTCCCTCCGGTCCCTCCGCGCCCGCCGCTTCCCGCGCCCGCCGCGCGCGCCCCGCCCCGCTGAGGCCGCCGCCGCCATCTTCCCTCCGGGCACGGCTCCCCCACTCCGCCTCGCCCCTTCCCGCCCCGCCCNCTCCTCAGTCCCTCCGGTCCCTCCGCGCCCGCCGCTTCCCGCGCCCGCCGCGCGCGCCCCGCCCCGCTGAGGCCGCCGCCGCCATCTTCCCTCCGGGCACGGCTCCCCCACTCCGCCTCGCCCCTTCCCGCCCCGCCCCGCTCCCGGCGCTGCCTGTGGCCGCCGGCGGACACCGATCGCGGCCCTCGTCCCCGTACTGTCCCCGCTTTCCCCCCGGGAATCGCCGCCCCGCCGGGGAACGGCGCCAATGCCGCCCGCTTCAAAGATGGCGGCGCCAGCGCTCCCGCCCGGCCGGCAGGGAGGGGCCGGAGGGACGGGCCGGGCCGAGGGCGCCAAGGACGGGGCCCGCCGAGGGACAAAACACCTTCGTCCCGGAACTAATTCACTGCGCTAATTGCAATTATCCTGAATCAAGGCCAGGCGCGACATGGGTGATTAAACTGCGGCTCCCGTGCCCGCGGAGGCGCTGGGCTCCCCGGCCCTGGGGTGCCCAAGGAACAATCCGAGGCTCTGCCTCAGCCTCTGGCCAGGCCACAGGAGCAGCAGGGAAGGAGCTGGAATGGCAGAAAGTTCTCTCCTGTGAAAAACACAGCTTGGTTTTTAAAATTTTACAAGTTTTATAATATGTTAAAATGGTTATAAAAATAGTAATGCAATTAGAGTAATAAAATTTAGAGTTAGGACACTTACAAGACAATAAAAAGCAAAGAATTACCGACGTCCAGATGATCTCGGGCACTTAAGCCACAACAAGCATGCCTTGTGAACAAAGGAATAACCTTTAAAACAATACGCTGTTGCATATTCATATATCCTTCATGGTTATGCATACATTCTATTTAAAACAAGAAATTCAGTCTGTTATATTTCAACTGCTTCTTTTAATCCCCATAGCATATTCGAGTCTGAGCAAGGCCTGAAGAAATGAGGAATTTTAATTAAGAACATTAGAATTTTTCTTCTGATAAGAAACCCGTAAAACTCTCCAGCCCCGCTCGGGTGTCCCTGGCAGCAGCTGTGGCCCTGGAGCCAGGCTGGCAGCAGAACATCCCCTGGCTGTGCACTGCAGCCCCTGCCCCACGCTGGCACAGCCAAATTCGGCAGCACCCTGCCAGTGCTGGGCTTGCTCCGTGCCAGGACAACGAGGCACCCACCGGCCTTGGGCACAGGCTGACCCCGAGGGCTCGGAGACAGCCCGGGGCTCGAGGAGCTGGGAATTCTGCTGTGTACTGCCTGAGCCCTGTCC